CTGCCATCCCGTCGAACATCTAATGCAACCCCCGGCCCTTGTGCTGTCCCTGTGCCACCACTGAAGTCACCCCAAGCCCCTGACTCCTCCCTGTCCCGCTTTCAAGGACATCCCATACCAAGGCCCCACCCCTGGGTGTGCGAGGACGGAGGGTGGCTGGCCTGTCCCCTGCTCTTGGCGGTGTCCCAGTGGCCCACGAGCCACCTCTGGGGCTGGGACGCTGCCGAGGAGTCACTTCCTCCCGGGCGTGACCCGGCTCGTGGGGACACCTCTGCTCAGGTGACACCCWGTGACCTCCTGCGGGGAAGTCCTGGAGGCGCCAGAGCAGAAGCACCGGCCTGGTGACACCTCCCAGGGCGGTTTTCTGGGTGGATTGAGGACAGTGGCATTTCACAAGTGCCTGCCTGTTTGGTGGCACTGAAGGCACAGCCAGCGAGCGCTGTCAGCCGTCACACTGTCCTACTTCCAGCGGCCTGCAAGTTGTTATTGCATCAGCATCAAACCCGGTTCAAACACGGTCCTGGCAGCTAGGGAATGTCACTTTTAATGCTGCTAATTCTGCAGCTGACTGGAGTTAATTTTGTTCTCGCCTGATTGTTTGGGGTGGTGGTTTTCCCCCAAGGCTGTATCGCGCTGGTTTAAGATTGCCTGGAGAGCGAGTRCTCTGATGTCAAATTACGCTTAATATTTAGTTCATTTATATTTATTGCATTAGTCTGCAGCGCTGRGGCGCAGCTCGGTTTCCACTTCACCTTCCTGAGCTGTGTGGAGGTGAAATGTCCAAAGTACACGGCTGCTGTCGGTGGTGTCACCGTGCTGTGGTGCACGTGTGAGTGTCCTGCATTCCCGCCAGCCATGGGAGCCCGTCCCAGCCCTGCAGCCAGCACCAAGGACTTTGGGAATTCTGCCCTCAAAGGGCTGCCCTGAGCCCCTCTCCAGCTCCATCAGCAGGCACGGGCTGTGGTTCTTGGAGAGCTGCTCCATGGCTGAAGAGGCTCGAGTGCATCAGAGTGACCAAGCGYAAATCTTTCTGATTTACACTCAAACCTGCGCTTTATTCATACCTGGTTTATGCTCCTGGGTGTTTCCAAAGCCAGGAAACTGCTCTCAGGTTGCGGAATGTTGTTAAAGAGGCTTCCCTGAAGCACAGCACAAGCCCCTGAGGGTCCTGCCTTCATAACTTGGAGGGGTCCAGCCCTGCACTGACCTTTGCAGCTGG